CCAGGATGTTTCATCACTCTCTCCCATACTTTAAAAGAAGGGGAGTTAAAAAAATGTAATTAATTCCCTCCATTTCTGAGCTGGCCCTCAGGGCCTCTGGCCGTGGAAACTGTAGCAGGGGAAATGTGCACCCTTTATGATAAACGAATGCGGCTTTGGGAAGGGAAGTGCAATTAGGGCCCTCAATCTGTGCAATCAGGCCTTCAGATTTTAGGTTTGGGGGTTGGGGAGGGGATGGTTGGGTGCGTTGAGGGGGCAGGAGGGGCTCGAGGGACAGACAAGTGATAGGGAGAGATACCGCCTAGATAGAGAAGGGTGGGAGCGCATCAGGGAGGGGAGCAGCCACGTTTCATAATAAAACCTTGTCCCAGCAGACCTGGCACCTCTCTGGTGTCTGCGGTCAAGAGCTCTATGTGAAATACGAGGAATGCCCAGGACATGACAGACTGGCTATACATCCTCAGACTCCATACACCTCCTGCCCTGCATCAGCAGGCTTGCTAAGATGCCCAGCCGACGGAGTCACCAGGCCCTGGACCCAGCAGGCTTTCTCTCTACACCGCCACACAAGCAGGAAGAACACGGGGGAGTTGTATGGAGATCGCACTCCAGCAAACAAAACGATGGGAAGAGGCAGGACTGCATTTTCCAGAGTGACCCCTGATTCTGTGGTGTCTCCGTTTCTGGGCACCTGATTTGACACAGCGCAAAGCGTCCAAAATCAAAAGGCTGCCTTAGAAAAATGCTGCATTTAGAAACTGCTGAGCCTGGCTAAGTTGTGAATAAAGGGAAGACGTAATGATCTGCAACTAGCTGAAGGGTGTTAACTCCAGAGAAGCTGCCAGGTGGTCCCAAAGGAATGCAAACTGGATACCAGGCAGAAATGGAAAAGGGAAAACCAGAAGGGTTTCCTGGCAGTGGGTAGTGTATCTGAGGCTGCGGTACTGCTTTCCTAGGAATGGGTAGAAATCCTCTCGTTTTAGGAAGGGCTGGAAATGGATCAGTTGGAATATTTGATACTACCTCAGGCAAAAAGCACTATAGAGTGTCAACAAATAGGCTGAAATCTCTCTGTTTCAGCTTCTGTGGTGTCAACATTTACACCACGTCCTAGGGCATGGAAGGTCTGACAGGGGCCCCATGGCCGTGCTGGGAAACACACTGGACTTTATAGTTTACCACTGACATGGGCCAAACTAGAAATTTGCTCCGAGTTCCTCCATGAGGGGCTGGACTCTCTGCCGTTGGTGGTTGACTCAGCTTCTGCTCTGGGTAGGTCATGCTCTGTCCTCCAAGACTGCTCCTTGGTGGGGACTCAGCTTAATCTTTTCCATCTTTATTTTGCAGCTTGTTCAGCTAATCTTTTCCTTCTCTCTTGCAGAAGGCAACCCTTCCTCATATTAATGCTTTTTGATCTCTGTGGATTCATTTTCACTTGGTGGGAAGAGTCGATTATTCTATACATACATTAAATGGAAACAAAATGAGGAGGTGACTGTAGGACTACTGAAAGCAGAAGAAAGAGTTGGGAGGAGATAAATGCAGTTTCCCCAAAGATCTTCACTTGAAAGGAGGATAAATATATGCAAATATGCCCCTAGGTAGGACTAAAATGACTTATGTAGCAATCACTAACACTGCGCTCACAAAACTAAGCAATTAATTTTGAATATTTTCTAAATCACTAGACCCGGCTGAGTTGTATCCCAGTGTGCCAAACCAACCCGGTAAGTACACCCATTACATTTGATTTTGCAATCAGGCCAAGGATCCCAACAGTGCTTCACACTTCTTGCGCCCAGAAAACCTCTGATCCAGGTAATCGCAGTCCCTTCCATCTAACGTCACTTCCAACTAAGTTTTGGAGCCCGGGAAGCAAATTTCACATTAGGCTTCCTAATAAAGGATAATTTCACTGACTTCAAGCACAGTCCTAATTCACACTGCCATAAATGAGCAGGTAACTTAACTCTCCTATTTTGTCGTGGGTTAAAGTTGGAGGAGCCTAATGCTGCACTGCCCCAGCCAGGTATTTATAATCCATCCATCAGCCCATTCCAGGGCTGCTGCTGTAGAGCAGTAATGTCTCATTTTCGTAACCTTCCCCACTCCACTGGAAAACATGGGGAGTCCAGTGAGACGCCTTTCCCAAGGCCACGTGATGAGTGGCTGAAGCGGAGCCGGGAACGGAACGCCATGTGCCTGTATCCTGTCTGGTGTGTACAGGACAGATCACACCAGATCCCTTCAGAGTGGTCACAAGCGGTTTCTGTGGGCCTGTGCTTGAACAGTGGAACAGTTTGGCAGCGAACAATACACCCAGAAATATCATCAATGCCTTTCAGTGACTTCAAACATCTGAAGGAGGTTTCAGCGCCGTAGGGGAGTGGTCTAGGACACAGCGGGTGAAATGGAGATGAGCGCTTGTGTCCTACGATGACCCTGTTCACTTGACGGATGAAGAACTGCCACACACCCATGATGGAGAGGGCTTGGGGGGATGCTGGGGGTGAGATGGAGCTGAGGATGCGATGGTGAGCTGCAGCAAAGCAGACCAATGCAGGCTGCACAAGGGGAGGATTAGAAAAAAAGGCGATGGGAAGTTATTACCTGATTGTTCAAGGCTATGGTGAGGTTCCACCTGGAGCACTGCATCTTGTTTTGGGCACCCTGCTTCTGTAGAGATGTACAAATTATGGAGAAGGTCTAAAGAAAAGTTGCTAAGCTATACAAAAGAATGGGAAGGTCTTAGCTATAAGGGGAAGAGAAATTGTTTAAGTCTGGATGGTCTGGGAAAAGAGGAATGGGCTCTTCTTGCAATGTAAATACCATAAGGAAATCAGAAGCACCACGGGGTTATATATCCAATAAGGGCTATGAGAAATCCTGTGGCAGAATTCCATTTTGGAGAGGAATGAGGGGAGGCATCATTCTGAGTAGGAATTACATTTAAAAGTGCTTGATCTAGAAACACAAGCCACTACCCCTGGCATGAGGGCAAAGACAGGCCATGCTAGTGGGGGTGTTTAAGGTAAAGCAGGTCCTAGTTCTTTTTCACTAATAAGCAAAATCAAGATTCACCCCTTCCAGAAACGAGAGAGACTCAAGCCAGAAGGCTGACCAGCACCTTGCCATACTGAGACTGCCAAAGGGGGGTGTTTTTTGTGCACTGCTGAGCATCTCCCCTCTGAAAATGGGCAGTTTGTGCTTTACTCACTGCCAACATCACTATTCACCTTGCGTTACACCAAAGCACAAGGTGTTTTTTCCTGTTAAATTTGAATTGCTAGGACATTTTATATAGAATAACAAAAAGAAGGCCAATGTTTGCCAAATGTGCTGGCAGACTAAGCCACCCTGCCCTCCTTATTTGCAGGCAGTAGACTGCATTAACGCAAGTGACCACAAGCGAACTGCACCCCGATGCTGTTTTCCCCATTAATATGTTTTGCTGTGAAGGCCAAGTGAACACTGTGAAAAGGAAAGTTTCCATGGAAAAATTCCTTTGTTGAGATACAAAGCATCTCTGGGCAACTTTACACAAGGTATTAATTGCAGGAAGATGAATTTTGCCTGTGGCATTTTGAAACTCACAAAATCATTTGGGAGGAGAAAGCGGAAAGGCACAACCATGGCAAACTGAGTTCCTGAATATTTCCAAACTGGCAGAAGGACTCTGCTTAGGTTTGTCATTGGGAATAGGCTGGGCTGGTGATCACTTGTGTCTTTGCTTCTGCAGCTATTTGTGCATTCATGGGTACGCTCAGACATGCTGATGGCAAGCGGGGTGGTGAGAGATTCAAAATACGGAGGAATAAACAAACACACACAAAGGTTTCCTGCCAAATCAGCCCTAAATCTATTGCTGTGCGTCTGCCTGACGTGAATAATGGCAGGGCAGGGAGATCACGCAGCAAGCTAAGTCCCAGCAGATTAAAACTGCTTTATAAACTTCTGTCGCCCCTCTCTTCAGCAGCCCTACACCGGCAAAGGCTAACAAAGACAAACCAAAATTCACAGAAAGGTCTCCTCTCCCCCTCCTCCCTTTCCATTTCTCTCTCTCTTTTTTTTTTTTTTTCCCAATTTCTCAGCTAAGCTGATCTGTGCTCGCTCACTATCACAACCCCCCGCGGACACTGGTAATGGAGTGCGGGTGCTGACTTACTGCTTCGAAACAAGATTTCCTGAGATCCTTTGAGTCCGCTCTATGCCCCCTCCCTCGCTTGCTTTTCTCTCTCCATCTCTCTCTTTTTGGAGAGTGGAGGGGAGCCTCTATAAATGTGAAAGGAGCTGCACTACAAAGAATCCCTCGAGTGGCATATCCCAGCCCCAGGCGAAGCTGCTTGGTGCACTGATAGTCCTGCGTATCTGCTCTAGGACTCCTCTTTCTCTTCCCCTCCCTCTTTCTCTGATCAATCAAGGGCTGTAATCAGTTAAGGTCCAGCTTAACTGCAGTGTAAGATACACCAGTTAAGCAAAGCCAATGCCTCCAGGGTTCCCTTCATAAATACGGAGAGGTCATGGGGAGATGAAATAACCCTGATAAGTTCAGCAAGTGCAGAGCTAGCTAGGCTCACACCAAACGCTTAATAACTCGAGCTGGCAAAAGAATGGAAGAAAGGGAAAATCAGAAGTGAATCCTATTGCCAGCTCCTCTGCTGTTTCTTTGCTTGCTCTCTCAGTTCCCTGCTTTCCCGGGGTGGGGGCTTGGTGTAGTTTTTAGGGTGAGGGTTCATTCTCACCCTAATGAATGAACAACCCAGACCCCGGTCACGCCTGGGAGTGCCTCAGCTCATTTAGATCTTCTGAGGCTAAAACAGGGATGAATTTTTTAAAAGCAGGATCTGTTTTTTCCCTCAGCCGTATGAAAATCGCAGCCTCTGAATCCAAGGAAATGCCTTTTGCAGCCCTACATAGTGCCATGTGCTCTTCTTTTGAACTTCTCTCTGCTGCTGGGGAGCGCTGTGGTATTTTGAAGGACAGGGAGCTGCTTGCTTTGCCAAACATGAACCCCAAATCCCTCATAGGATCCAAACACAGTGATAACGAAGCTGCATCCACCACAGTGTGGAGTCCACTGGTGTGGAGGCATTAGTGTAAACAAATAGGAGAAAAGAGAAGAAAGTGGGGACCCTTGCTGAAAATACTGGCTTCAACAGAGGATTACCCGTACAGCTACAATGTTCTTTCCCTGTTTTGCTCCATGGTAAAGTTTTCCTTTCTCTCCGGAAATGTCCATTGTCAGAGATGGCCCAGGGAAAACCAAGCTCTTTGTATTTGTAATCACCTCTACACTAAATTCAAGCTGTGCTGGATGCATACAGATTATAGATTCATAATGCACTTCTTGAAGAGGGTGCTGGGCTGTCAAGGGGACTTCCCTGTGCAGAACAAGCTGCTCTCTGCTTCCATTTCTGAAAGCCCAGAGTTCATTTCTGCCCCTCAAATTGGAGAAATCTGGCAGGATTCGGTCACCATCAAATCCTTCCCCATATTCTACCTAATCTTAATCCCAAACTCATGACTCTAGCTGAACACGACATGAGGTTTGGATCCAAATACCACTGCGTAGGCTCCCGTCTAATTGGACATTGGCCCACTAGGCATTATAGATAGGGGAAAAAAAACCATGTAGGATTTATTAAAAACGATGCAGACACACAAAGAGCAGAACAAAATCTTTAACCAGAAGCGATAAGAAAGCCCTAAAGGATTTGAGTTTAGATAAGTATCCCTCTTTGAGTCCTCCAGCTTTTTAAAAGCTATTTGGACTGGAGTTTTCCTGTGGTGTTAGAGGTGCTTACTTAAGCAGGGGATGAGATTAATTCTTCCCTGCGTATTTTGACACTCCTGCACCCGGGGTCTGCTGAGGAGCAGCACAAACCTCGGTAAGTTTGCAATGATTATTCGAGGAGCCATCACAAACAGGTGAAGTCTCTGAACAATAAAGGATAAAAGTAGAATCTCCTGGGCTAACACATCATTAACTGCACTTTCTTCATATTTGTCTAGCACAATTTGATTTTCTGATGGTACTGCGAAAGAAAATATTTTTTAGAATTATAATATGAAGCCAAGAAGCCATCTCAAGCATCAGAGTAGCTAAATGCCTGTTTTTAAAACCTTGCTCTTCTTATGAACATCATTTACTGCCTTGAACTAAGTGATTTTTAAGAAGAAAAAGATACGCTGATGAAACGTAGCTGTCTGCTGACAAAGCTATGTCTGTGCCAAAGGGAAGGGTCGTTACCTTATGAAAATTAAACCTCTTCCAGATGAAACCAGCAATACCCTTGCTAAGTGGGTATGTAAACCAGCACATAGCTTGCTCTTCTGTACAAATGCAAGCGAAGAACTTTATACCTTAACCCCTAAACTCCTGGCTGAGCTACAGGCTCTCTTTTATGAAAATATCTTGATCAAAAGCCTCCCGAAAAATGGCACATTCTATAATTTGCTGAGTAGAATCGTGTCCCTCACCTGTGCTCCTTGCTGGGGGGAAGAGAGAAGGTATCGTACGTACCCTTGTATTACTTGAGCAGAGTTTTTAAGGCATCTCCTGCATGCAGAAGTTTAAAAGCATACAAGCCACTGCTGATCCAGAGATAAATGGTGGAAAAGGGATTAGAGATACTTAGCAGAGGAGAGGGAAGACTCAGGAAGGGCTGATTATTTTAAAGATATGACTATTTAAAGATAATGATTGCATAAATTTAATTAATGCATTTTCATGCTGCAAATGGCCGTTTTGTAATTAATGTATCTGGCCTCGCTAAGCATGGGAGATCACATCTCCCAGCCCCCCTCCCCTTCTCCATTCCCCCCTCCGCCTCTCGTTTAATGAAAGACAGAAAGCAGATGACAGAAACAATTTGTCAGCCAGTACGGGTGTCAGATGCCTAATTGGTTGCGCTGAGTTAGTGGAAAGTAAAGGGGGAGAGGGTCGAGGCTGGAGAGGCTCTTTCCTCTTTATCCGAGGCTTCAGGGTGGGTGTCTGTATTGTGGGGAGGGGGGGACCGAGGGGGCGAAAGTGTTTCTTGTTAATTGATGGAGATTAGGACACAGATTGGCTGTGGCAGGGACTGGGCAGTGACAAGAAGGGGACAGGAGAGGCTGGTTAACACCCGTGCAAACAAGCTGCCATATCTCACAATATGTTAAGTCCCGGCAGCGTTGACAACATCAATGATTATCTCCCGCAGCACCCCCGTACCCCTAGTCACAACTGCTGGGGGAAGAGCTGAGTCCATGGATCAGCAGCCCTGGGCATGGCTCTCCCCGCTTTGGTTTCATCCTCTGGCTTAGAGAGGAATCAGGACCTTGGCAGAAAGTTTGGGGCTGCGGGGCAGGGTGCTGTGCATGGGAGGATGCAGAGCTGAGGCCATGGTCAGCAGAGAAAGACTGAAGCCCCAAAACAAGATCACAGCCTGCATCTTACTTGCCCTAAGCCTTGCCCTGGGTTCAGCCCACTGTGTGAGTGTTGCACCTAAGAGATGCTCAGAAAACCTGTGTCCTGTCACCTGTCCCTGCCCCGCTACAAGACTGCCTTAAAAACTGCAAGATTAAGCAAAAAATGGAGTTAATGTATGTAGCAGCTGGTGCCTGAGCTTTGTGGGTGCATTTGGGTCACTGGTAATAAAGTCCCATCTGATTAATTCTCTGCTGGTCGTTATGTG